AATCCTAGGCAAAGGCAAAGGCTTTAAGCACAAATCTGAGCTGGATTTGTGGCTCAAGTCTCATAACTTAGGCTCCTTCATTACACTTTATTGCATTTGTTTTTCAATAAAAATGCACAAGACTAGAGCAAGCTGCGGAATGGGGCATGGGGAGGTGTTCAAATAATAGAGGGAAAACTACGTCTTATCGGGCAAGTGGTCGCACGCCCCCAAAGTGCTAGCTGCGTGGTGATATAATCTGCCTTAATGCTTCGCCTTGGGTTTCATTTCATTTTGCTTTTTTCTCTTTTTTGTGAGTTTTTTTTTTTTTTTTTGTATTTATTTGGGACACAAATATTGATTTGCCGTGGGTCTTGGTAAATGTAACTTAAGCGATAACACGACGATAAGTTGAAACTATTCATGCAAACCAAAAACTAAAATCGGGCACTCAATGTGCACATATGTTACATATACGTATATATATGTATATGTATATAAATATATGTGGATTCATGTGTATTTATCATCCAAATAGGTTTTTTTTGTTTTGGAGCCAAGTGCATTTAACGATATGATAAAAGTGCGGAGCACATGAAAGATGGGGCAATGTGGCTATGAAGTTGACCCAAATAAAATGCGAGCACAGCTGCCATAGCATTCACGACATAGAACGGATATCTAGTTTGTAAGCGTACATATGTACATATATGCATGGGTATATATACATATATACATCTAGAATTATGCTGACAGCATTCAATTAATTGGCAAACATTCTATCAATTGTGTTCATTCTTAATTAAAATGAATTATGTACTCCAAGTGCTGGCACATAAAACTAAATTAATAATAATATGATATGATCTGAGTGCGATGCCTGCTGTTACAAATACAATTGGCCTATATACAGGCAAACTAGCCAACATTAAGAGCCAAGTAAAGTAATTAATAACCAAAAGGCACCATGTTAATGCGCTCTGAGTGCTTGGCAGGAGGCAAGGCAAGGCAAGGCAGGGCACGACAAAAGGACATTAAAGCGCAGATATATGAGATGAAATTAACATTCTTACGGAACAGCTCGAAGAAAACTTCATTAAAGTGCCAGACATAAAACAATTGAGGCTTTAACTAAACGTATTTCATGGCACATTAAAAAGATTTATTTATGTTACCTTGAAAATTCCACAGAATAATTCTGATTAATTTCATATTTTTTATATTTATTTATTTATCTATCGACACGCAACAGTTGCCGCATGCCAAAAATTTCCATCTCATTTACAACCATCTAGAAAACATACAAAAATACTTTTAAAAATATTCTGATTTTATGTATGCAGTCCAATCATAATCCTCACCTCCCAGACTACTTCATCAAATATGTATATATAAGGGAAATGCGTTGTTGCTTAAATAAGGGCTTAAAAACAAATAAAAAGTGAGCTTAGCTTTACGTTTGAATGAAACGCAAGGCGTAATGTTCTACTGATTACGTAAAGCGTAACACACACACACACACACACACACACACACAGATGATAGTCAGTTGGTTTTTACGCATTCAAGGACAAAAGCCAACCAAGGGCACTCAACGAAGAAGTGACGTCTTCAAATTCTGGCATTACACAACACTGGTTTCCTTTTGAGTTGAGGTTGGCAAGACTTACCGTTAAAATTGTTAGTTGGCAGCACCTTTTGGGAGACACTACGCTTGCAGATATGTTTTTTTTTGTTTTGGCTGACAATCTAGCAGGCCTCTGACAATTATCGTTACAATTGTGTGAGTATTCAGAAATCAAAAGGAATAGATCAGAGCGCAGCCAAATTTTGACGTAAATGCTGCTAACAAATTTTCCGTTCTATTAAGCAAAATCGTCGTAACTCTTATGTTGTATTTCCCAATTCACACGACGCGTAAAAACTCGTGAACGCAACGAACTTTATTGAATAGCAGAGGCCAAATAAGACGAGAACCTTGCGCCGCGAACTCAGCTGACTGAATGAAAACGGACGCAGCGCTCGAGCAGTCGACAGCAGCCTTAACGTAAAAGCAGCAAAAGCAGCGAAGAGAGTGAGAGCAAATACAGCAACATCAACATCAACAGCGACGGCGACAGAGACAGAAACAGCAAAAACAACATCAACAACAATAGCAAAAGCAAAAGCAAAAGCAGCGCAGCTTTGCGCTCAGCATAGAAATAGTGGGAGGCAGAGCAACAAGCACAGACCGTTACTCAAGAGAGTCGTCAAGCAGGTGAGCGTAAAGTTGTGTTGTCACTATTTGTTGTTGCTGCTTCTGCCCACGCGCTGCGCTCGGTTGCAGCGTGCATACATCTACAAGCATACATACGTACATATATGCATTGACATGTATGTACGTAAAAGAGTGCACTAGAAAAAATGTTTAAATTGATGCATATCACTTGATATAAATTTATAGCAATTTTTCATTCACTTTTCCCACGCTGCTATTGCAGCTGCAAGGCAGACACACGCGCTCTCTCTTTGATAATCTCGCTCTCGCTTATGCTCCGTGTGCGCTGCATGTAAATGTGAAATGAGGGAAATTTGGAAAGAAGGAGCATAAAAGCTAACACCAATCGACGACGTTGACGCAGCTGCTGCTGCGCTGCTTATGTAACCTGACGTTGTCTCAGTCTCGCTGTCTCAGGCGTTGAAGGGCAGTCAGCGACCTCGTTCTAGAAAAAAGGCAGCCCACAGCAGCAACAGCAACAGCAACAGCAGCAGCAGCAGAAGCAGTGGCAGCAATAACAGCAGCGCACAGGAACAACACAAAATAAACATTCAGCAACATACACAATGAAAATGTAGGGTTTTATTCTATGCAGCCACACATAGCCCATAACAGCGAATGTTACAGTGGGTAGGTGGTTGGGGCGCATTTTTTTTCCTTCTCTTTTCGGGCGACATCAAAGCCAAAGCGAAATTGCGCAACAGCAACAAAACTTCCAAATAGCCACGTGAGCAATGTGAATGCCATTTTGATTTTATTTTTTCTCTAATTTTCTTTTGCTTTTCCTTCTTCCTTCTTTTGTCCTCTTGACCCAGCGACCCACATGATTTTTATAGACTGCCGCTGCAGTGCATCGCAGTAAACAATTATGCTACTCTCTCAGCCATCGGTCTAAACCTTTTTTCCACATAAATTGTTAGCTGAAGTGTAATTCAATTCCAGGCGTCATTTATTTATAGTAGCCGTCGGTTAGGAGCCAACTGCAGGCTACCGCAGCAGCGGCAGCAGCAGTTGCTGTCTGTGGAAGATTTATGGCTAACCCACCAATTGGGTTAGGTCAGCAGCACGAAGTGAATAAAACACCTGATGCAAAGCCCTCTTAACAGCATACAGCACAAGCTAAACGTTCTTTGAGTTACCGTTATCTTCAGGCTAATGCATAGCCCTAACAGCGGAACAAGTGACCAGAGCACTTACAGTTATTTTCAGGCTTTTACTGCTGCGGTGTCTTCCCCCCTTTCCTTTCGTGCTTCCCGTTTTGTTATTGTTTTTGTGCTTTTGTGTTTGGCGGCATCTGGTTTTGCCTAAGCCACAAGAAACATGCGTAAAATGCGTTTTAATTGAAGGGAAATGTTCAAAACACATGTTCGTTGCCCGTAGAGGGCGAATAGGCGAGTCTAATTGAATTATGTACATGCATATGTATAAATGTGTGTGTTCCTTTGTTTATGGCCCGCCATTTACCAATACTATTCGAAGCTGAAGCAAAAGTCGTGCGCTCTGCTTTTTTATGCATTTCGTTTTAGCCGTTTTTCATTCGAATGACCCAGTTCCTATGCTATTCCTATCTCTTTCACTTGCACTCGCTTGCAGCTAAGAGTGTCAAAAATATAAGAGCAGCGAAAAAGAAAAAATGATGAGAGTGAGCAGTTGTCATCATCGATGCATATTTAAATTAATTTAAGTGGACGCACACATATATACATACATATGCACACAGCTGTTTATTGGGCAGCACTTAAATTGTCAGCTATGAATAGAAACACGCAAAAAATGGGCAAAAATAATGCATATGTATGTACATATGTATGTATGTATACACATAAATATAAAAGTACCTATGCGTCGTATATATTTATGAATAGCTAGTTATGACGACGAATTCTATTTTCTGCATGCAGGTTAGCGGCTAAGACTGCAGTTAGCCACGTTTTTCACATTTACTATGCACGCACGTAACGACCCACATTCACACCCACTCGGAGTCAGGCAATTAACTTGGCAGACTGCGTGGCTCACGCTGACGTCGTGACATAACTTAAGCATGAAAAAAAATAATACAAAAAAGAACCATCAATTCAACCAACCATCCTTTGCCTACACATTCCTTCCCATTCGCATGTCACGAATGTCCTTGAGGCGTGAGCTGAAGGCCATGTGAGGCTTTGTTTTCGTTCAGCCATTAGAAATGAGCTTCAAAAAGTAAACTATGTACTTTTCTTTCTTTTCGTTTTGTTTTTAGAAACACCATATTCCAACATGGGTGCTGATGCGGAGAATGGCAAAAAGATTTTTGTTCAGAAATGCGCACAATGTCACTCCTACGAAGTGGGAGGAAAGCACAAGCAGGGTCCTAATCTTGGCGGAATTGTTGGCCGCAAATGCGGTACTGCCGCTGGCTACAAATATACTGAAGCTAACATCAAAAAGGGCATCGCTTGGACAGAAGGCAATCTGGATGAGTATCTGAAGGATCCAAAGAAATTTATTCCCGGCACCAAGATGGTTTTCCCTGGACTCAAAAAGGCCGAGGATCGCGCTGATTTGATTGCATTTCTCAAAACAAACAAATAGTTTGAAAACCTCAAAACAATGAAAAAATTATAAGATTGGGAAAAAAAGCTTTCATAAATATTTACTAAGTACACTTTTAGAATAGATAATAATAAAAAATTGAGCTCACAACATAAAATTGGTATAAGACACATTTGTATTTAAATGTACCGCCATAATTTATTTCAATCAGTTTTTGTCATGCTCAGCAACCATTTCGAAATTTTGCTGCGCATGCCAGAGCGCGCAATCGCAGTTATATAGTAATACAAATTAACTTCAATGACTTTGCGTCTATAATAATTTTATTAAAATACATTCAGTGCATGTTTTTGTGCCAACAAACTTCTTTTAGCTAATTTGGGTAAAAATAAAAGCTGTTAGAGAAAAATTTTGTAACATGACCGCGCGATGAACTGCTTTGAAAATACCATATCACTTAGCAGTTGCAAGCCTAACAATATTAACACAATTGCAATAGAAACATTGACATGTCTTTTATAGCCGAATCAGATATTTTAATTTCATAATTCCTCGTAAAATAACTATTTCAAAACGTTATTCAACGATTAAAAATCTCAAACTTTATTCAATATCGTAGTTTGTGAATAAATCTATCGATGTTTCGATATATTTATAATATCGATACTCACCTACAAGACTCATTTGCGCCAATTGGGATCTTTTGTCTCATTCGTAAGCTAACTGTTCGCAGAGAAAGACGGTTTGTGTTCAATGTAAGTAGCGGGAGTTTGCGAATGACGTAAATTTATTAATGTACAAAACCCTGACTAGTAATTGATTACGTTCAAAGTGTACAGATAATTCAGTGATAAATAATTACATTTAAAGTTCTTACACAACATATGATCGCATATGCTCAGAGTGTAGCTGTAAATCCCACGCGAATTTAATTTTTTTGGGGGTTGTTTGCGTTACATAAACGTGTGATTGCCTTCAAGGGTGTTTGTGTATGTGTGTGCGTATATATATGTGTGTATGTGTCTGCTAAATTATGTATGTATGCAAAAGTCGAAAAGTAGCAACTATTAATCAAGTAACATATGATGGAAGTTTTTACACATCAAGATAAATATGTGCTAACAAAGAGTCACATTGACATTACAAATATCGCGAATCGATTACATGAGCAGAAAGGCCACACGATCATTTGCTATCTCGCTCATACGATTTTTGCTTTAAAAAAGTGGCTTCCATTTCACAGAATTTTAACCCGCCCGCCACGTGGTTGCTAAGCAAGTGCGATTTCATTGCCCATTGGTTTTTTTTTCGTTGCTAAAAAATTGCAGGTTGCTTATGTAAGCGACTATACTCTTGCAAGAATACTAACCCAATTTCACTCTTACCTGCTCTCACGCATCCTCACATTCACACACATAGAGCGAAGCATCAGCAATTGGCCTGCTTCCAATGCAGTTCCGATAGAAAAAGTGGTTTTATTTATCTGAGCAAGGCCACAGCTCGCCGACATTGTAGTCTTTCATGTAATCATTAGCTCTCTAAAAAAGGTGTATGCGTATGAGTGTGTGTGCGTACGAGTGTATGTGCGTGTGTGTGCCTGCTCGTGTAGGTGACTTACTAATTGCAATGCTGCTTATGTCTCGCATGCAACAATTCGTTCAAGTTCGCATAACTGCATGCAATGCAATTAGTCACCCGATAAGCCGTTAGATGCCAATATGCTGACCGCGGCACAGACCCTGAAACTGTATTGCTGAGAATGTGGGGCATTATTGGAGTTTGGCCTGTTGCTGTGCGGCAGCGAAATCTGACGCAATTAACATTTTTGTTCTGATGCCCAGAGATGGCAGCACTGCTTGTTTTTTATTTATAAGCCAAATTTAGCCTTTTTTAAGTCTGAGAACTTAAGTAACACTTGCCATTCATAGTTTAATAGATAAAAAAATAGCAGATTAATTTAAGCTTATATTGAGCTAAACATTAATATTAAATAATTTTTATTATATACCTGTTAAATTTTCTGACAATTAAATAACAGTGAGCCTGCGACGAAGATGTAGCTTTTTCACCATGAAGCTAGATTTGTTAGCTAAAAGTGAGCAGCACTGCGACGGCAACATGTGACCAGATCGTATGTAGGTGTATGAGTGCGTGTGCGTGTCGGTGTGTCTGGTGACGTTGTTCCTCATCTGGCACGTTAAGAACGTTGAATGAACTTTGGGCGGGAGGGTTTGAGGTGCAGACTATTAGATAATCTAATGGTTTAGAACATTGCATTACTAATAGCTGGCATGTGCTGTTATCAGTAGCCCGATTAATGCGTCGGGCGTTGATAAAAATGAATTTGCCAATGGTAAATTAATTTGTTGTTTATATAACATTTCTAATTGTTCATTTTCCTCTATCTTTCTCTTTCTTGCGCAGTCGAGTCGGTGTTAACACATCAAATATTTATTAACTATAATGGGTGTACCTGCTGGTGATGTTGAGAAGGGCAAGAAGCTGTTCGTGCAGCGTTGCGCACAGTGCCACACCGTCGAGGCCGGTGGCAAGCACAAGGTTGGCCCCAATCTGCACGGTCTGATCGGCCGCAAGACCGGCCAGGCTCCCGGCTTTGCCTACACAGATGCCAACAAGGCCAAGGGCATCACCTGGAACGAGGACACGCTCTTCGAATACCTGGAGAACCCCAAGAAATACATCCCCGGCACCAAGATGATCTTCGCCGGCCTGAAGAAGCCCAATGAGCGCGGTGATCTGATTGCCTACCTGAAGGCGGCTACCAAGTAAGGAGGAGTTACTAGCATCTACCCACACCCGAATCCAGCACCACCTCTTAGCTACACGTAAACTCTGTATTACGAGCTATTCTATCATCATGGAAGCGTGGCAGTCGCGCCTCCGAGGCTCATCTTGACGACGGCTTGTATTTTGGGTCACAATAATAACAAAGCAGAATACTGAACTTAAAACAAAAATACAAATATGTTAACTTTAAAGTTTAAATAGGACAATTACATAATTTAATTTATAAAGTGGATATAAATAATTTAAAGCCGATTAAATTGTGACGCCCACGAGAAATATAACAACAAATTAAATAAAAACAAAACAATAAAACCGAAAATAAACTTGTATTTTCTTTATAGTACTGTTTAAGTAAATTTTAGGAAAAACTGTGTCAGTATAAAAGCTCATCGCAACAAAAGCTCAACGAGAGAGGAAGGAAGAGAGCTTTTAAAGCTCACAAACTATTGAATAACATTCTAGTGCTCTATACCTGTAGAGATTACAAAATAATTATGATTTTCAATTACATTTATTTATATATATTGTTTTTTTTACATTCAAAAATTTATCATACACTTTAATAACAATTTAATGCATTATTTTTATGTGAATTTTATAAACAATTTTATTATTCACACGCTTAATAACATTTCATAATATTGCATTTATTTATTTGAATTTTTTTTTTTTCATACATATACTTTTGTTTTAATGAAAAGAAATACTTGATAGGTTGGTTGTACATGTGCGCCGATGCGTTAATATATAATACAATTTACTATTTAGACTTGATTGAAGAAATCTTGAGAAAAACTCTGTACAGCACAGCGCAAAGTAGAATATTTAAAACGATAGTAACGAACATAAACAAAACAGACAAAAACAAATTGTAAGATTTACTCGCTGTGAGTGAGTGTTTGTGTGTGTGTATGTGTATATATTTTCCGTTTGTCTAATTAACTCTCACTCTCATCTACGTATCTCTCTAGTGGTGCGGAATGCCAACAAAAGAGCAACAATTAATTAGTTATAACGAACGCTGGCGCCATCTGGAATCGTCAATAGATTCGCTATGGAACTTAGTTTACTGATTAGGACAAAGAAATATGCGCTTAAACGGTAGCAAGAAATAAAACGATATTTTGTTAATGGGCGTGGGAGTTGGCGGTGGAAGACACACGCCCCCAACTCTTATTGTTAGTTAAGTTGTCGAAAACAAGCTGGCGACCCACTTGGCTATCAGTTGTACATGGTGTAGCTGGTGAGCGGGGTATCGGTCCTTTAGGCCTTGCCAGCAATGGGAGCTGCGCCTTGCTTTTGGTTCTCGTTCTCCTTCTCCAGCTGCTTGCCCAGGTATTCCCTAGTAGAAACACGAATAAATAGACACATCAACAATTTGGAATTTGGCAATGCTAATTTTGAATAGAGAGTGCTCTTGAAATTATTCGGTAATGATTTGAGTATCGGGCGTATAAATGCGAGTATGATTATCGAGCGGCACCTGAGTGCGATAGGTGTGCATATGATTAGATAAGACTATCCACTTATATCATACTAACCAGTTGTGTACCATCAGTTTTTGGACAGCGAGCAGAGCCTCGTAGCGCACATTGGGATCCTCGTGACCCAGATGCTGCATAACAATCTGTTTGCCACCCAACTGTTCCAGCACACTGTGAAGCAAACGCACATTAGACAAGAGCAAGGCAGATAGATTCCAGATCTCGTTCACTTACTGCTTGCCGCGTGGATAATGACGCACATACTCTCCAATATCGAAACAGGCAACGGACAGAATAATGGCATCCTTCGAGGTCTCCAGCAGATGTACCAATATGCGCAGCAGTTCGTAGTTCTTCTCGTTGAGGCGTTGAGCGTTCTCGCGCCAGAACTTGGCCGATTTGTGGACGGGCGACCATTCAAGGCGGCCGCTGCGCACCTCGGTGGCATACTCGTCAAAGGAGCTCAGGTCCTGTACGGAATTCTGCAGCTTCTCGCTCAGATACTCCACGTCGGCTGTAATGTCCTCGTCATCGAAGCGACGCTGCTCCAAAATCGACAGCTGCTTCAACACCTTGCACTGCACCATGGCAATACAATGATCCTTGGCCACGGACGCATCCTCGGGCTTCTCAATCAGATTGCGGAAAACGGCCAAAATGATGCGAGTGACCTTCTCCTTGGCACAGTCGCTCAAGATATCAGCCAATATGGGTATGACGCTGAACTTGTTCATCTTGGCAGCCAACAGGGGATTGAAGGTCAGCACCCACAGGCAGAAGATCAGCTGGTATTGCACCTATGAATAAGAAATCGAATTTAAATTGTACCAAACAATTTAGACATTTCAATTTCAAACTCACCTGGAAGTTGACACGCGTCGACAGGATGCGTATCAAGGTGCTGATGCCATCGACGCTGACGAACGCGAAGCGATACTCATCCACGCGCAGCATCATCTGCAGGCAGCGTGCCACGGACTGGATATACTCGTTGTTCTGTGAAGGCAACACACGATGTTAATATGGATCTTGCATCATAGCAGAGTTTTTCATTTTAGTAGCGAGTTAGTTATGACAGTTTATCTTAATTTTTTTTCTTTTTTTTATAATTTTTCTAATGGAAAGTTGGCTACAACAACAGCAACACAACAGTTACTACAGCTACTTAATAGAGAGAGAAAAAGTGGAAGTGGAAGAGACAGACAGAGAGAATTGTGCTCTAAGACATACCAATAAAAAAAAATAGATGTATTACAAGGAACAGCAAACGTAGTCGCTGTCCTGCTCAGAAATCCGTAGAATGGGCATGGCAATTGTTTGTTTTTGTTTGTTTTGTTTGTGTATTGCGTTCACACCGACACCGATTGTTTTTTTTACAAAATTCTTTTATTTTCCTGTTTTTAATTACCTTTACACCTTTACCGTTACCTTCAAGCTCTAATCAATGTTTTGTACATTTGTTGCTCTGCTGCTCATCTTTAATTTAAATCGATGATATTTAGTGGAGTTAGTAAACAGTTATCGTTTGATTTATATATATGTATATATACAAGACACGCACACACACACACACACTCATTATCTGAATATATACACGCACTCACACAACAACGTTTGTGCATTGGAAGATATGGGAATTCCCTGTTGCCTGACTATATTTAACATTTGATAAATAATACAAAATTATTTCATTTTCTTCGAATAAAAATAAATATAAAATAAATTTAAAATCAATTTCAATATCTACTAGAAAATGCATAAATTAATATAAAAATGTATCACATTGAAACTTAAAATTTAATTCAATCTTCAAATACATTAAATATATTAAATTTAGATAAATAATACAAATAGATTGAGAGAGATTGATTAAAAAAGTTTTTCCAAGTCGATTTTAGAGAAAAACAATATATATGAATATATCAGCTTTTGGTAGACAATGCATATCTCTGCCATGATATATTCTCTTTAGCACAAAGGTGTGTGTGTGCGTGCGCGTGTGTGTGTGTCTCCGTGTCTGTGTGTGTTGTATAATTGTTTGATCATTTTTTTGGTAATTCATTTTGTGTAATTGTGTTTGCGTGTGTGTGTGTGTGTATGTAGTTGGTTGATTGGGTGAGTGTGTTGTGGTGGTGGTGGTGGTGATTGGATAGCATTTGGGCTGCATTTGGAATACCGGTATAACACATTTGCCATCCTGCTGCTGATCGACGGCGGAGGAGCGTACTATGCGGTAACTCTCATTGGCCAGATCGTGGCGCTGCTGCAGCTGGACCAGATTGGGACTGTACTGGTTGCCATGATGATCTTTGCCATGCTGTCCATGCGAGTGCACAACGATCGTTTGCGCCCGCTTGGCCAGCTGGGCCATCTCTTGCAGATAGGCAGTGCTCTAATTGAATTGTGTTGGGGGTCAGACGGTGCGTGGTTTCAGTTTTGGTTTTTGATTATTATTTTTTTTTTTTTTTTGGTTTGGATTCAGCAGCGCACAGCATCCACAGCATTGTTTGTGTTTGTTGAATTGTTCGATTCGGTAATTCAGTTATTGGTGTTTAACAAAATAGATTCGCAGTTGATGTTGATTGACGGTTTGAATTGTAAATTGGTATTAAATAATAAATACATAAGATATTTTAAAATAAAACCAAAAGTTTAACAGAGAACAAAACAGAGCAAGAGTTCAACTTTTTGTTTTAGTCTGAGCTTTGCTTTTGGGGACATCAGAATACACATAAATCGTAACGAGAGAACGTGATTATTACATAATATAATTATCATAATTATTATTTATTTGGCTAGGTTTGGTTGGGTTTGGTTTGGTTTGGTGCAGATGGTGCAGGTGGTGGTGCGAGTGATGCTGATGTTCTTTCAGTTCTCCACGGCACACCCACTTAAATGCGATGCGGTGCGATGATCGATTGAGCATAATTTATTTTTTAGACTTGTCGCAACGGTTATACGAACATCTTTAATCATATAATGCGAATTTTGTTTTTTATTTGATATCTTTTTTTTTCAGGTGCATGATTCAATGAATTCAGATGCCAAAATAACAAAAAAAAAAACGCTAAAGTTGCATTACAAATAAAAGACAATTTGATATACGCAAGCCTAAAAGTTGGCCGAAAACCTGGCTAATGCTTAATTCATGTCTCATTTTTAGAGTTTTCTCACTTTTTATTTGGTTTGATGATTTTAGTACTAATTGTCGAGCAAGCAAAACTAACTAAAAGCGTGCAGTTTGATATTTTACGGTTAGTCGCAAGCAAACAAAATGCTAAATATCATAGCATATTTGCCAACATTTAAAGAATGTATACCAATTGTGTGGTAGGAAAATGTAGGTCACATCAAAAATTAAAGAAACGTAGATACAAAGAATTGTGGAAATGTGAAGTATTTCGTCTCGATGTTGAACTGGATTTCAGCCAAATAATATCAAGGGCTAATAAAAATGCAAAACTACAGTAAGATCTCCCCGATTCGAGCATGCACTAATACAAACAGCTTAATCAGCTGACCTCTATGTTCCAAGATTTTGTAATGTCCAACATTTATTTTTAGTTCTTTTGTATTATTGTTTTCTATATAGAAATTTCTTGAAATTAAATTGAGAAAACATGTCTAACTGTAAATGTCAATTTGAATACTACTTAAAGAGTTCATTTGAGATAGGGCATATTTCTTATTAGCCTTAATTCAATGATTTCATTATTAGATTTCATTGGTTTACCATCTAACATTATAAACAGTGCGAACAGTAAAACTTCTATATACAATCAAATATTTTCTTAGTGAAAATAAAAAATTTTTAAGTGAAATAAAATCGCCAGAGTCTTCGTTGCATGCAATGGATATTTCTTTTATCTAAATCGATATAGTTGGAATCGCTCTAAATTAATATATGCATATATATATATACACATATATATATATTGATTCAAATCGATAAAGATAACATCATGCTACATGCTGCATGCTACAAATATATTTACATAGATGCATAGCTATACATACATATGTATCTAGTGTACCTGAATTAAAGTTCTATGTACAACATAAACATGCAAACGGGGGAAGAGGAGAGGGGTAATTGACCTGGTCATGCATGGACTTGACGCTTGTGCTTTGATCTACTTACATTGCTGGCCAACTGATCCTTGAGGAACTGCAAGTAGAAGTTGAGGTCCGACTTGGGCATTGTCTCATGGCCCCAGCAGGCGAACTTGGCCAAGATGCGCGACGACATGTTAACAATGAAGCCATCCTGGCGATTCAGCAAGTTGAGGAATGGACCCCAGACGCACTGCTTTATCTTGGCGGATGTCTCGTGGAATTGATCGACACGTGAGCGATCCTCCTGAAGCAGATCGTCGAGCAGCACGAGTATATACTGAATGGTCGAGTCCTTGGACAGGTGCGAGACCAGATTCAGCATCGTCTTCACCACCTGCGTCGAATTTTGGGCCAAAAAGGTGGCGCGCGATTTATCCAATGCGCTAATCGTCTGATAATCCTCCTGGCTGATCATCTGCGACTGCATGTACGAGGCCCAGTTGATGGACTTGGTGCGTATATCGGCGGCCTGTTGCTGCAGCACCGAAGTAGCAGCAATCATATCTGCAAGATGCAAATGTGCATTCACAGTTAACCATTTTTCTGCCACATATTTGGGCAGGGGGCGGCCGACTGCTGCACGGGGCAGCAGCACTTCGATTTTTCACAGAGGTCAGCTGCTGCTGTTGCTGGCACTTACCAATGTTTTCCTCGGGCAGATACAGTGCGGTTGTCATTTTGTTGGCTGTTTTTTGGCGTGTCGAGGGTGATGCGATATATTTGTAGTTTTGCGCGCGTTTGCACACAATTTCAATCGAAATATCTAGGAAAAAATATATTTAAATTACGAGTGTCTTTTCACACTAATGCGACAGCACCGAAATTCAGCTGACTGGTCTTGTGACTTATTCGCCGTGTTCGCCGTACTTGAGCGTTGCCACCTCGCACGCATTTCACGGTGCTGGCAATTTCTAATGAGAATGGCGAATCTTAGGCTGCGGTCACACGTAAACAGTTTTGCGGCGAATATTATAAACAATCAAAATATGTTTTATTAACAATTAATATTAACTTCTACTTAGCTGTTAACTGCTTTCTGAAAAGCACAACAGCAAACAGTTTTGATGTACATAAAACAGGTGTCATTCGACTATATACAGTGAATTCACTATATTATGGAATTCACAGCGCATTTCAAACGCAAGCGAGGCAATTGCAAAGACTTTATTAAACTAGCGCCATTTCCCCCAAATTCCAAAGGATTTCGCTATCAAGGTGTCTTTAATGGACTCTCTGTAGAAGTATTTAATACAGAACAGAATCTAATAAAAACTCTACACGATAATGGCTGCTATGGCAAAGGAAGCAATTCACGCGGAGGCCCGATTTCTGGAGAGCCCGACGAAACGCTTCTACTTGGACTGGAGGAGGCTTGTGTGTTGGCCTACTCTTTAAACATACTGGAGATAAAAGACACGGCGAACAAAGAGATCACCTGGCAAGCGTACGTGCAGGCAGCACTGGAATATGACAAAGAATTTTTCTATAAACTGGCTGCATATTTGTATCTAAAATCAAAGAATTGGATAATTAAGAGCGGCATTAAATTCGGTGGAGATTTTCGTAAGTGCTTATCCTATAATTTATAGACATGAAAACAGCTTTTAATTTTTAATCACCTCCACACAGTCATCTACAAAGATGGTCCGCGACAATTTCATGCCAGTTTCTTGGTACTGGTGCACACTGCAGACTATATTAATCACCCGCATTACGTGGGCAAGAATTTGAAGGGAACTCAACGCGTAGCTGAAACATCGGACAAAGATGTGCTCATTCTGAGGGTGAACGAGCCGAAAGACTTTGATTCTGCGTTGGCTACACCGGCGGCACTAGAAACCCTGACCATTGACGAGACTGTGATACGGCGCTTTAACTACACATCTTTTGTGCAAAGTAAACAGAAATAATAACAAGAGTAAACTAGATTTTCTCCACGCGATGCTTTTTGGGTATGCCCGTGCTCCTATATTCCGCCCGCTCTTTCAGGTAGATGGCCTTGCACTCCTCTTTGAAGGCTTCGTTTTTATACCAGTGGGAGAGACAGTCCATAAGCGCAGAATTTTGCTTGCGACAGGTGGCCACCATAAATATGCTGCTGGCCTTACAGCATTCCTCGAAGTCCGCCACTTCTTTGGGACATAGTTCGCTCCGCGCACGATCTCGCATTATTTTTGGTATTAACACCTCTATTTCTACCTTGCGCAACGTTGTGTCATTCGGATCACCTGCAAGCGGCTTTTCAATTTAAATGCTGTACATCGTTATATATTGTTTGGCTTACCAAGTCCATGGGGATTACGTGGATTAATGCCGGCGGGTTCCTGTTGTGCTAGACTCATTTTGCGTGTTGGTGTATTTATATTTCGGTCTAAGGGCTACTTTGACCTCAGATGTCAAATAGTGTGGCTGTAGTCTAAAAATTATGGTAATACCAAAACCATGAAGTTTAAGATGTAACGATTCATCGCATTCAATTGCAAGCGTTGGCAGCACTACCCTCGATTGTTTTTGTTTTACAGCACTACTCACTTCCGCCTCTTTTTCTGCCAGCCTGCAGCGCCTTTGGACGTGTGTCAAAAGCGCTCCCGTTGCAATTTGATAAGTAATTTTTCAACATGTCTGAGACATTGCAATTGCGTGGTACGCTGATCGGCCACAATGGCTGGGTCACCCAGATTGCTACCAATCCCAAGGATCCCGATACCATTATTTCGGCATCTCGTGGCAAGTATAATTAACAGTTGTTGAGGTTAGGTTGGCGTCTGTGGAATCCTCCAATAACTGCAACATCCCGGCATAATTTTTAGATTTTAATTGTTATGATAAATAATGTATTTACGTTTATATAGACAAGACCTTGATTGTCTGGAAATTGACCCGCGATGAGGATACCAACTACGGCTATCCCCAGAAGCGTCTCTACGGTCACTCGCACTTCATCAGCGATGTTGTGCTCTCGTCCGACGGCAACTACGCTCTGTCCGGCTCATGGGATCAGACTCTGCGCCTGTGGGATTTGGCTGCCGGCAAGACCACTCGCCGCTTCGAGGGACACACCAAGGTGGGATAAGTTTCCAATTGGTTTACCGAATTTTTGATTAGGACCTAGAATTGCTGCAGCCTACGCTGCTTTTGTAAATCTGAACTCCCCAATGGTATTGGTGTATCCATGTCCCCATATCATAAGGTTAGGCTTAGCTAGCACACCAATACCCATATACATTTAAATGTATATAAAAAAAAACAATATTGCGCCTATGCGAGGCAGAATTAATCTGGTTGACATCTGTACAATTCTACGCCTGAGTCGACACACTTTTGCGTGAAGCTCTTCCGTAAGTAGGCAACAAGATCTCTAAATCCGCTACACTTTTAATTATGCACATAAACCTAAGGATTCGCCAACTAATAAACTGTTTACTCTTCGATTATAGGATGTGCTCTCGGTTGCCTTCTCGGCTGACAACCGTCAGATCGTGTCTGGCTCTCGGGACAAGACCATCAAGCTGTGGAACACTCTGGCTGAGTGCAAGTTCACCATCCAGGAGGATGGCCACACCGATTGGGTGTCGTGCGTGCGTTTCTCGCCCAACCACTCCAATCCCATCATCGTGTCCTGCGGCTGGGATCGTACCGTCAAGGTCTGGAACTTGGCCAACTGCAAGTTGAAGAACAACCATCACGGTCACAATGGTTACCTGAACACCGTGACCGTTTCGCCCGATGGCTCTCTGTGCACATCCGGTGGCAAGGACTCCAAGGCTCTGCTGTGGGATCTGAATGACGGCAAGAATCTGTACACTCTGGAGCACAACGACATCATCAATGCCCTGTGCTTCTCGCCCAACCGCTACTGGCTGTGCGTCGCCTATGGCCCATCCATCAAGATCTGGGATCTGGCATGCAAGAAGACCGTTGAGGAGCTGCGCCCTGAGGTCGTCTCGCCCACATCCAAGGCCGAGCAGCCACAGTGCCTCTCCCTGGCCTGGTCCACCGATGGCCAGACCCTGTTCGCCGGCTACTCCGACAACACCATCCGCGTCTGGCAAGTGTCTGTATCAGCGCACTAAACTAATCTTATATGTTTGGACATAGCTCTTATGAATCGATGGCAAATTGATTTGTTTATGCCAAAATAATAAATATAAAACAACAATTAATAAATTTGTTTAAAAGTTAGAATTGTAAATTAATACGGATATAGATTAGCTAAGGCAAAACAGTTTGTTTTCTATATACGATTTTTGATTTATGGGTGATATAGACAATTATCAATTGATTGTAATTGTATATTCATTAGGGCAAGACCTTTTAGAAAACAATGCTTTTTATGTATTATTGTTTTATGAGTTATATACACATATATGAATTATAGGCTCAGAATATATTTATTCAAAGATATAAACAAAAAACAATCGACATTAAAGCATTTTTCAAAAGTCTGAAAAATCAATTGAATAATAATATTAATTATTTAAGGCAAACATGATTTATTTTGTTTGTTTATCAAAATGGCCCCTTGCCCATATCTGATGATCATTTATGATATAGCAATATAGGCTCCGAATATATTTGTTCAAAGTTCCAAAAAGTACTTCATTCAACATTAAAGCCTTTTTTCATAGGCATACAAATTCAATTTCATTGCCAATCTTCGTTACATTTTTTGAGTATTTTATATTTTATCGTTTTTTTTTTGCCTTTTGTTTGACAAACGCAAGTTTTACGTATAACAAAATAATTTAAATAAATATTTATGAGATTCATGGTGATGGATGCGAGGACTGTCTGGTGGAGCTGGGGGATAACAGAGTGCAGTGATAGTGATATTTGTCTAAATCTTTCGTATAAAACATTTTTTTTTTTTTTTTTTTTCAAAACTAAATCCTAAGACGAAACCAAAGAAAATGCCGCCTAGTTGAGAGAAACAATAATAATCGCTAATCGCGCTGGCGACGAGGCAAACAAGCATCGCGAATGCTTATATTATAGTATATAAATTTTTTTGGGCACTTTATAAGGTTGCTATTGAAACGGTACAGAAGAGTCTCTCTTCTGTTACTTGGTTTTGATTGAATTGGAGCGTTCGACAGCCGCTGCAGCAGCAGCTGGAGCTTTGGCTAAGGCTGCATCGCCTACTTTACCGCCAGCCGTCGAGCTGACAATTTTGTAGACGTCGTTCTTAAACACAATGACCAAGACGGTGATGTTGTCCACAGAGCCGCGCTTATATGACTCCATGGCCAGCGATTTGGCACCAAAGTCCGGTTCCTTCAGATGCTCCTGCACGAAGCTGCAGGCTTCCTCGTTGCTGAATGTATCCCAAAGGCCGTCCGATGCGAGTATCAAAAAACGGGGCCTGGCATTCCATCGAAATGAAAATAATGAACAGAAATGACGCACTTAATAGAAGGAAGAGTTCATTAACTTGGCAAGCAGCTGCACTCACTTGTGATCATTTAACTCGAAGGTCAAAATGTCTGGCGTGGCTATGACTAGATTCTGTATGGGATAGAATAATATAAAGTGTAGGCTGATTAGCAATTGAGAATTGTATATGCATATATATACACATGTATAGGCTATAAAACGTGACGTGAGAAATTCCCATCACGCCATCTATATAGAGCATGCAGCATCGGCATACCTTATCTTTGAGGGGATAATCACCCATCGCTCGTGACGTGGCCAAGACCCCAGCCACGCGCCAAACGCCACGAAAGGCTATGAAGCCGCCGGCATCGTGAATGCGTTTCCGCTCGCGCACCTGCTGCGGCTTATGGTCGAACGACAATGGTATGGCAATGCCGCGTGCATCGAACATCACGCCACGCGAATCACCCACATTTGCCACAATCAATTTGCTGTCCTTAACGATGGCAATCAAAGCGGTTGTGCCTGCAATGTTGGTCTGCAACAAAGGGAAAGGAAATGTGAACCACTTGAGATAGAAAATTAAGGCAGTTAATTGGGACTGGCCCACTCACTGCGAGCTTGGCCTGCTCGACCAGCTTGTGATCCGCGGCCAGTATCTCGTCCGTGATCAGCTTGCCAAAATTAATGCGTCCATGTTCGATGTAGCATTTGGCGTCGTAGCTTGGCGGCGGCGCGTTGCCAGAACTTTGCGCATTGTTGTTATTATTCAGAAATGAATCTTTTGCCGCACTGTTGCCGCTGGCGCGCATCGCACTGTTCAGCTGCGCCGTATAAATGTCGGCGACAGTTGCCTCCGTTGTCTTTTGCTTAATTGCGCTGCAATCCGCTGTGGTGCTGTGCGCCTTACGCAAACTGTCGCGTCTGGCCATGGGATCGGCATTCTCTTTGTTGGTGGCATCTTTGCGGCTCTGTTTGCGTGCCAGATACGGACTCTTGTCGTATCCACTGTACTCTGACGAGCTCTCGGTATTCAGGATCTGGTTAATATCAATGATTTTGTTGTAGATATTCTTGACCAGAACATCGCGGGCAAAGTTGGCAGCGAACTCGCCGCCATGGCCGTCGAAAACGGCAAAGAACGAGATTCCCGTGTTGTTGTTAATGTTTTCCTCAATGATGAATCTGTAAGCAGAGTTAAATGCATATACAATACAACTTTCTTGGTGGGCTCTTCTCTTCCTTACCTGTCTTCCATGTGAGGTCTTCTGCCCAGCACAGCGAAGGCGGCACTTTGTTGACGCACCTCTTCCCAGCTCTGATGATCGCCCGCACCGCTTGTCATCTCTTGGACGCGTGCCGTCTTCTGTCTACCGAGCGTGGCCTGAATACGTCCCAATATGCTGCGACTCCACACGTCGACCGCTTGCAAATAGATTAACAAGACAAACAGAATGATGCCACAGAAAATGACCTCGGGACGGAGCACATAGATGCGGCATAGTTTCCATAGATATGCCAAGGGCGAATTGATGGACGAGAAGCCCACTGCGAACTTGGATAGGATTTTCATATGTGAAACGAATGTCTGATAGAAGATCTTGTCCTCCAATTCGTCGTCCATTGAGGGTGCCTTATTGTGTTTGTTGTCAAGGGATCGTTGCCTGGCTCTTTACTTTACTCTTTCTGATCGCGTTATCTGATATTTATACTGTGTATGTATGTAACACTCTGTGTAAGTATTAAACGTCGGGGATTGTGTGTGTGTGCGGATTTGATTTGATGGAATAGAAATCACTAACGCACAATTATAATCTGGGGCCAGCAGCCAGCAGCAGCAACAGCAGCACTTGGATTCAAAATCGAAATTTCGATTTATTTTGTATTTGCGTCTGCACTTTTCCTTTCCGTTCCGTTTCTTCACGTTTTCTTTCCCTTATTGACGAATTTTGCTTTGTGTCGCTCTCATTTTTTGACGTATTATTGCACAGCAGATTCGCCCGACTTTTTGTACCATTATATTATTTCAGAATATTCTTATTATAGCCTCTGTTGCTTGCATAAATAAAAACAAGAACAACAACATCTGTCTCTATGTGCGGTACATGTGTATGCGTGCCTGTGCGTAAATATATATGTACGTACATACACTGGTATTACCCACAGTACAGCCTCAATATAACACCCGCTAGTCCTCGAAGTGGTAACACTGAGCATACAAAATACTGAATTTCGTTCAAAAACACACTACCTAAATTTTTAACTAATTCTGGATATTTGCTGGTATTTGTTCTGATGTTTTCTGTTTACTGTATTTTTGTTGATCCTGACAACTTAGACATTGCTTATAGTTTTGTATAGAAGACGTTATAGGGACAGACAACTGTGCATGTCGTATTTACGGCCAGAGTTGTTATCGCTACTATCGATAGTATTTGGAATATTTTGAAGCACCAATAAAATGCGTTTCGTGCCAATAAGATAATTTAAAACGTTTTGTACATCAAAATAAAAATTTATTAAGAACTAACCTTATAAAGTAATAAAGTAACCGATAAATGTAGCCTAATATTAAGATGAGGCTATTCTTTTACTATTTAAGCGAATATTTTTGGCATTATTAATTCACCTTGTCGAAACTATCGAAGCCAATTGCAAAAAAGTGTGACCAAGCTAAGCTGAATCTCAACAGCTATAACAAGTTCAATTTATTAACACTCTTCTGTCCATACCCTTTCCGTAGATAAACAAAACCATTTTAAAATTCGCCTATGAATGAACTTTATAGTAAATAGATATATAGTAAATATATATTAATTTGTAACTATTAGTTTACGGTGAACTTTTGTCAGAAAATGATTTAAGTAAAAATTGCTTCAATACCTGCAGAATTCCTGCCCGAGTACACATGTCGCCTATCCATGGTTGTCAGTTAAGAGCTTAATAATTGTAGCATTTTTTACAGTAATTTTTCACAATGAAAGAATGTTAAAACTTGTAACTTATGAAATGAACAATCAAAACAAGAACTGCAACCGATGCGGAGAAGAGCTGCAACAAAACGAAATGACAAACCTCCAACTGGCAGCGTTTTAATATATAGTATTATTTATTATGCTTTGCCATGGCGTGCAAATAAACAAATTGATATGTGTATATATAAATATGTGTACATACATATATACATATGTAGATGAATGTGTGCAGCAAACTAATGCGATTCTAATATAATGAAATTGAAAGGGATTTATGCTCTTCTAACAACTTCCCTACTTTTCGAAATAAAACAAGGATATTTTGTTTAATTGTTTTTGGTTTTAAGTAGTATGTATTTTAATTATATTTATTGTATTTTGTATTTAGTTGGTCGCATTACAAAAATATTGTATTCATTTAATTCTTTGTTGTATGTAGGATTAAGAAAAAACTTAGCTCAATAAAAATGGCATAAATTTGAAATGAATATTGCATTTAACATTGATTGCTTATAGTACAAAACGTAACGGTTACACTTAACAGCGTTAAATAAAAATAACTTGTTGCATTTGCTGTTCCTGTTGCTGTTGATGCTGCGGCTGCTGCTGCTGCTGTTGCTGCTGATGCTGCATTACGCATTTGTTCATAAAATATGGCAATGGTTGAGCTGGCCGCTGGGCTTGCAACTGCAATGAAAATTTGTAAGAGGGAGAGAGAGAGATAGAGTATATGAATATTTAAGTTTGTCGTCAATGCTTCCAATCGAACATAATATTTTTGGAGACATTCTAGGAAAGCTTCCACTCTATACTGTCTTTACATGATGATTTACTATAAGTCAGAGTATAGTCTAGTCGGTTATTTTCAGTCATTATACACACTCACACACCAACATACCTCTTTAAACTGTGCACTGCCGGAAGCGATCGGCATTTTCCTGAATATTGCGCAGATAGATGTTGAGCTGCTCGTTCAGCGGCTGTATGGACATTTCCAGTTTCTGCAGCTGCTTGTTCTTGTCCAGGTAGGTGCTCTGCAGCAAGTTGAGCTCGGCGAGCTTCTCGTTGGTGTCCACCGTCAGCTTGGATGCGCGCTGCAGCAGAAGCTTGGCGCGCTCTCGCGCATGCTCTGATCGGTTGGCGCGATCCGTGAGCGTTTGATTGGTGGCACTGGTGGAGAACTGCAGATTGCTGGCCTCGCCACGTGCCCCGATCGCATCCTGCTTGACACGATTCGCCTGCTCGGTTATCTGCTGGGCATCCATTTCGTTTTTCAGTATATTCTTCTGCAGATTCTGCACCTTGAGGGCCAAATTCTCGACCTGCTGTGCGGTTTTATTTGCTGGCGATTCGGCCTCCTTGGTCTCCAGATCGATTTGCTGGAGATCTTCGTCGGCGAGCTCAATGTTGCTATTGGCCTGCTGTATAGCGTTCTGGGCCTTGCCTTGGGACTCACTGGCCGCCTCCAGATTCTCGACCACCAAATTGGCCTCCTTCAAGATTTCATCGGCCGTCGCTTTGGTATTATTGGCCGTGGCCTGTAAATCGTTGACGTTATTTAGATCGGGTCGTGTTTTGTATATGATCGCCTCGACGTTCTTCAGCGAGGAGACAGCATCGTTGATCTTCACGCCCAGCGATTCGATCTCTTTGGGATCGAGCGTCAGGTCCAGCTGCAGGGTGTCCTGTGCCAATAGCTTGCTCTCCGAAGGTAATGCCGTCTTATTCTGCAAAAAGTCATTGACCTCTTCGAATAGCTTCACTGCCACCTTGATGCTCTCATCGGTCTGGTTTAGATATTTTTCCGATCTCATAAATCCAAGCTGGGCCTTCTGATATGCCTCCGAGGCATTCAGTTTGGCCTGGGTCAGAGCGCGAATGGTCTGATCCGCTGCATCCTTTTTGCTAGTGATGGCCGCCTCCGTGTTCTTGGCCAACTTGAGAGCTTCCTCGGAATGGGCACGTGCGCCATTCTCGCAGGAGAGGAAGCCGCCGCATTTGCCGCATCCAGCACCGCCGCAGAGATTATCGCAGGGATCGCCCGGCTTGCCGCACACCTGATTGTTGAGTTCCGGAATTTGGGAAGTCAAAACACTCAGCTCTGCACGATAATCGGCTATGGTTTTATCATTATTCGCTATGGCATCGGTCTCGTCCTTAATCTTGTTGCTCAGTGTCTCGACGCGCTTGCAGTTGCGCTCCGTGTTGGATGCCAGCTCCCTTGCCTCATCCTTGACAGCTGCCAGGCTGCTGACGCGCTGGTAAGCATGTCGGGTTAGATTCAGGGCGCCCTCAATGTTCGACTCCTGCAGCTCAATGCCGTTCTCTTTGAGCTCACGCGACAGTTGCTGCACGAGACGCGAATGATTCTGCAGACCCTCCAGCTCCACGGCGGACACACTGAGCGAGTTGTAGATCTCATCCAGCTTAACTTCGGTGTCGCTGAGCTTCTGATGCGAGTTGACAAGCTTCGTCCTCAAGGTCTGGGCAGCCGCATCCAATTGATCAATGTCCTGCAGACTGACCGAGGTGTTCTGCAACAGATCCCGTATGTGCTGGAGCTTCTTGTCCAACTCACTGAACTCGGTGGTGTAGGCGCCCGTTGCGCCCACCTGTTTGATCTCCTTGGCACGCAGTATGGTTGCCTGAGTGGCCTCATCCAAAGCCTTCAGTATGATGTCCCAGTTGTTGAAGCATTCGCCGCATGGTGCGCAATGCGGGAACTGACCCAGATAGCCGCGGGCACACTCATTGCACTTGTAGCCGCCGATGCCCTCGTGACACACACATTGACCCGTCTCCCGATCGCACTGATAGTCGGCGGAGCCAAATTGATTGCATTCACATGGCTGGCACTTCTCGTTGGGATTGCCCCAGAAGTGCGCCTGGCACTGATTGCACGCCCGTCCGCCAAAGCCAGGCTTGCACTCGCACTGGCCGGTGAAGCTATGGCACTGCTCCTGCACGGCGCCGATGGCGTCACAATTGCACGGCTCGCAGCCCTCGCCGGAGCCGATCTTCCAGTGATTGACAGCGCACTCGTTGCACAACAGCCCCTGGACATTGGGCAGGCAGGGACACTGGCCGGTGAAGCGGTCGCAGTGCGCCAGAGTCTTGTTGGTGCCCAGGAAATCGCATTCGCAGGGTCGGCAGTTCTGCTGCAGTGCATCGCCGTGGTAGCCATCCCGGCAGAGCTCACAATGCTCGCCCGTCGTATCGTACAAGCACTTGAGGCAGGCGCCTGTCTGGCGATCGCAGTTGCCGGTCTCGTAGGGATCGATATTGTTGCTGCAGTCGCACTTGGAGCAGCTGCCGCCCGACTCCGGACTGCCAAAGTAATTATCGGCGCAAATCTCACAGCGCGCGCCCGCATAGCCGTCCTGGCAGTTGCACAGCATGTTGTTGTTGCGCGTGTCCAGGGAACAGCCATCGGCATGCGACATGCCACTGGCCATGGTGTCCGGACAGCGGCAGGCACGGCAGCCGATCTCGCTGCCCAGCAACGGATCACCGTAGTAGCCATCCAAGCAGGTGTCGCAGTTGAAGCCATCTGTCGAGTCCTGGCAATTGATGCACTGCCCAGTCAGCGGATCGCACACGGACGCATGACCGTTGCATTCGCAGACGCGGCACGCGGGGAAGTTCCAATAGCCCGGCTGGCACTGATTGCACTCGCGCCCATAGGTGTTCGGATGGCAGGCGCACTGGCCGGTCAGCAGATCGCAGTTGTTGTCCTTGCTGCCAATGCTGTTGCAGTCGCACGACTGACAGCCCTCCGGCCCGAAGCCGTAGGTGCCCGGGGCGCACTGATCGCACTGCCTACCCACCACGTTCGGCTTGCACTGGCAGAAGCCGCCGTTGGCGTCGCACACCTTGCTCAGCGAGCCGGTGGGATTGCAGTTGCACATGCTGGCGCCGTCATAGATGTACGTGCTCACGTCCTGCTCCAGGTCGCGGCATATGGCCGAGGTGTGGTCCTTGTAGCGCATGTCGTACAGCGACTGATTACAGTTCATGTTGATGTATTCGCGCAGGCGCAGATCCGCCACGGGCGAGCCATGGAAGATGGGCGTCACCTCGATGCGTGGTATCAGGGTCAGCGAGTCCACCA